TTTTTTTTTTTTTTTAAAGATTTTATGTGCTTACTTGAGAGAGATAAAGAGAGTGCAAGCAGCGGGCAGAGGTAGAAGTAGGCTCCCCACTGAGCAGGGAGAGAGAGACCCTAGGATCATGACCCGAGCCGAAGGCAGATGCTTAACTGACTGAGCCACCCAGGTACCCTGAGCATGTGACTCTTGATCTCAGGGTCATGATTTTAAACCCCATGTGGGATACAGAGATTACTTAAATAAATAAAACTTTAAAAAAGTTAAAAATAAAAAAATAGAGTAAAAGATTATACTCCATAAAAATAAAATACGGTTGAATTAAGCAAACAAAGCAAAAAAGTTCTAACTAGTTGAAATATTTAGTTGTCTTAGGCAACCAACTTAAAAATAGTTAATATACTCATCAATTGCTGCTGGCAGTAGTCCTTGAAAAGACTGTACAGAATAAAGATTCTGAAGAGAACATAAACCAAAGTTTTCTGAATTGTTAATATAAACATAACGTTTCTGAATGCTCTGAGATTTTATTCTAAGTAAGTACCAGGTCCTTCAAGTTATATGGTTTCATGTATACATACCAACAGAGGTTTAAAGGGGGGCTCCACCTTCCGAGCTAGCAGTTCTTCCCAGTTAATATGCCTGAAGAATGGATGAGCCTAGGAAAAAAGAACAGGAAGAAAAGTCAAGGCAAATAGACTTCATTGGATTGACAAATTAACTGTTTGTTTGAAGTTACAAATCACAAAATAAACTATACTATTTATTTTTTAGATTTTATTTATTTAAGAGAGAGAAAGCATGAACATGAGTGGGGGGAGGGGGAGAGGGGAAGGGAGAGGGAGAATCTCTCAAGCTGACCCAACACAGGGCTCGATCCCAAGACCCTGAGATCATGACCTGAGCCAAAACCAAGAGTCGGATACTTAACCAACTGAGCTACCCAGATGCCCCACAAAATAAACTTTAAACAACTCCATACAATCCTCACAAATACAAAGAATTAGCACTATCTTCCCCTCAAACCACCAAAAAGGCCAATCCCTACTTGAACTTCTCCAGCATCCCCAGGGCCAGCTCCAAGCCGAGAAGCAGCATTTCTTTTCAGCAGCTTTAGGGAGGGAAAACAAAACAAAACAAAACATTTATGAACCTTAGCCAAATTGATTATTTTTTATTTACAGAATTTGCTTGTCTATATTGCTTCTCTATTTTGAGAAAATAGGCTTTATTAATTACTACTAAATATTGTTTGGGAATAAAAAGGAAAAATCTTTTTTTTTAATTATTTGAGAGAGAGCAGAGAGAGAGAAAGCACACATAAGCTGGTGGGGCAGGGGGTAAGGGGCAGAGAGAGAGGGAGAAGCAGACTCCTGCTGAGCAGGGAGCCCAATACGGGGCTTGATCTCAGGACCCTGTGATCATGGCCTGAGCCAAAGGCCAGCCACCCAGGCACCCCAAGGAAAGAAAATCTTTAAACAAACAAATTTGTACTTTACCTGCAAAAACTGTAGGCTTTTTTGTTTAATATATGTGTATGATTCTTTATTCAAAATGTATGTTCAATTCTATCTATTTAGATCCCAGTAGTTAAGGATCATCGTTTCGTGTCCTACCTTTTTAAGCAGATCTCTGGCTTCTTGTGTGAGGTAGGGAGGCAAATTGAGTTTACATTTGAGGATTTTGTCAATTGTTTTCTTTCTATTCTCCCCAGTGAACGGGGGCTAGGAATAGAGAGAGTGAGAAAAATTAGCATATAAAAAATAAAATTATCCATTTTCTGAATTAGTCAGCTATGCATAGAAATCAGAAATGTATGCTGTGATATGGGCTGACTGCTAAACATCTATAGTTTTTAAGCAATGGGACAGAAGAAACAGCAACATCTCAGAAGAAACTGGGTTTCCACTATTAACTTTATGTTATAATAGGTTAGCCATGTGATTTTATGCTTTACTTTCTCCTTTTATAAAATAAGGGCAGTAATCTATTTTGTATCTCTTTCACAGGACTGACACGACAGATCATTTAAACAAAAATGTTTTTAAAAGTATAGGGGCCCATTCTACTACCAATAAAGCTTTATTAGGGTTAATTTTTTTTTTAAATAACTCCATCAGTAACATTTTAAAAAGCGCAGGAAAGGTCTCTTGCCATAATGATTTAATAACTACTCAGCACAGACCATAATACATGCAGCTTTTAACTGTGCACCTACTGCTCCAGTCAGCATGTCATACATTAATGCTCCCAAACTCCACCAATCCACAGCACGATTGTGGCCACTTCTCATCAAGATTTCAGGGGCCCTACAATGAGAAAAATAATATGCCTAAAAAATTCACCCATTTGCATATCATCTGAATTAGAAGTTTTAAAAACAACATATGGAGCCAAATGATGCTATAGAAAATATATAGCACACTATTAAACCAGGTAAAAGTTAGCTATTACTCCCCCAAACCAGTTTTATTTCTTTCAACATGCAGCTCACATGTATTCTATTGTTCCACAAAATGTGTGTGTGACTGTTCCATCATGAATAGATTCTTTGCATAGTCCAAAGTCTGTTAGTTTCACATGACCTACAATGAAAGATCACAGCAGTTATTCTGAGAACTCTAAGCATGTGCAGTGTTTGAATGTATCATACAAGACAATAATCTATCCTTCCATTTAACTTTTTCTGCCTTAAATATTTTTTGAAGATACAACTAGTAAGGTGCCATCCATAAAATGGGATGCTAACTTTTTAAAGCTAATAGTCATTTTTTGCCAATGATGTAATATAAAAGGAAAATAGAGAAAAAAAGTAAAACAGCTTGTCCAAGGCTCTAGCTCTACCATCCTGAGAAAACAAGCCCTTTCAAGAAAAAT